GGCCATATTGGATTTCTGATTGACCTGAAAAATAACAACACTTTGTCAGGATCATGAGTCGATCATTCCTACCAACTTTCAGTGCAATCTGCCCAGCAGAACTTGACTTTAAGTTTGAAATAGTTTTTCAAAATGGCGGCCGTGGTGGCCATATTGGATTTATGATTGACCTGAAAAATAACAACACTTTGTCTGGACCATGAGTAGATCATTCCTACTAACTTTCAGTTCAATCGGCCCAGCAGAACTTGACTTTAAGTTTGAAAGAGGTTTTTCAAAATGGCGGCCATGGTGGCCATATTGGATTTCTGATTGACCTGAAAAATAACAACACTTTGTCAGGATCATGAGTCGATCATTCCTACCAACTTTCAGTGCAATCTGCCCAGCAGAACTTGACTTTAAGTTTGAAATAGTTTTTCAAAATGGCGGCCGTGGTGGCCATATTGGATTTATGATTGACCTGAAAAATAACAACACTTTGTCTGGACCATGAGTAAATCATTCCTACCAACTTTCAGTTCAATCGGCCCAGCAGAACTTGACTCAGCTCAGGTGACCTAAAAAGTGGCCCTATAGTCGGGTGTTGGTCAAAGGACAGGTATCAGCCTAGTGACTGGTAAGGTTCTGTTACCCAATACCAATCAAATAGCTAGCTGCATGCCGTCCATTTTACTATGATATATTCCAGGGATACAGAGAGCGTAAGTGATCATGACCCCTGAAGTATAGTACATACATCTTTAAGGGAAACAAATCCGATACAAATAGTGTGTAGCAAGTGTAAGGTACTAAAATTACAACCTTAGGGGCACTTATACAAAGGGGCAATAACTCTTATACAAAGGGGGCACAAACACTGATATGAAGGGGCAATAACTCTTACACAAAGGGGCAATAACACTAATATGAAGGGGCAATAAATCTTATACAAAGGGGCAATAACACTAATATGAAGGGGCAATAAATCTTACACAAAAGGGCAATAACACTTATATGAAGGGGCAAGAACTCTTACACAAAGGGGCACTAACACTAATATGAAGGGGCAATAACTCAAATTATTTAAATCACAGGTAATGAATACCGATAATAGCATATACCATTAAGATGGAAAAGTCAAATACACACAACAGGATGTTAGTGTACATTGTAGGTAAGCATACATTTTCTAATTTAGTGACCGTGTTAGTGGCTATAATGCTGTGTGGTATGCTCTTGACCGATTAACTCATCAGTTTGTCGTGTTCAGTCGTTTCGTTGCCCTGACGGCAGCTATAAGGTATTGTCCAGTCACCTGTCTTACCCTCAGATAGTCCTTGTCCTTCTGTGGGGTCTTGTCCACCAGGTTATCCACAGTACTCGCTGTTCTCATGTCCAGCCACACTGGCAGCAATAAATGTACAGGAATAAATACTCTTACTCTTACCAGGTATTTAGAAAAATGTGATACATATGTACTTCATTAAATACATGATAGTCCTTCATTGGTTCACCACTGCAATCTTACTGAACTCATTTATTATGGATTTAATTGCATATTTTTTATGCAAGTATATCTTATGTCTGATAACAATATTGTATATTGTGATACAAATGTGGTTTGACTTGTTGTACCTTTTTACCGATTAAAATTGAATTGAATTGATTATCAAGGAAAAGATCAAATACAACTTTCATTTCATATAGCCTGGCAGTAATTGTAATCAGAATATTGTTTTTATTTTTCACCTTTAACAGGTATCTGATCATCAACAAAACTTGTAGGTGGCGAAGATATTTAATATTTACACAAAACATACCAATAGCATTGTAGAGAGGTTCTCCCGTCAGTTTGTCCCAAACCACAGTCGTCTCCCTTTGATTTGTTATGCCAATGGCTATAAAATAAATTTGAAAGTTCAACTTTTTGATGTGATATATATACCTTGTCATAATTGAAATACTGAAAATAACAGTGGCTGGTCATGCTCATCTTTGAAATGTAGCATAAAATATATGATGTTTGTTCAACATTTTTTGATCTGATAATTAAAGTCTATAAAGAAATCATGTCAATGGTCCTTTTCAGAAATAAAACATTGGATACAAAACATGTTGGCTCACCTCTGTAAATACATGACTAAGTCAGTCACATTGTTATATAATTCTGTCAGTGCAGATTATTATACACTAAATCAACCTGCTTATGGTTGAGTTAACTCATTCACCCCTAAATATTTAAACTGGACTTGTCCAGTCTTTGATTTGGTAAGGTTCAAATATGATTTTAGGGGTGAATGGGTTAAAATCAAGTACTGCTGGCCTTGATGTCTCTAGTAAACATACATGTATGTTTGATAATGAAAACAAAATAACAGCTGGAGAAAAACAGTACTGTTCGGCTATCACTACCACAGGTACCCGTGCTGGACACACAAGTACAATGTGTACATGCTATGTGATGTTACTGTGTCTCGGGTGAGAGACATGAACTGCCCCTGGACCGTGCCGGCCATCAGACAGCCCGCCTCTACTATATACTGTTCAGCTATCACTACCACAGATACCCGTGCTGGAGACACAAGCACAATGTGTATATATACTATATACTGTTCAGCTATCACTACCACAGATACCCGTACTGGACACACATTTAAGTACAATGTGTATATATACTATATACTGTTCAGCTATCACTACCACAGGTACCTGAGCTGGACACACAAGTACAATGTTATATACTATATAAGGATTACACAGATTTTTTTCAGTTTCATGCTGAACGGCATTCATGAACATTGATAAAATGCTGTTCAATCCACTTACTTACATTCATAATTTTTGGTTATTATTGACCTTAACACAGATATTCCATGTTTTCGATATTGGAGTTCCTATGTTGTTCAAATGAGATTCATGGAACAGCCTAACGTCGCGTAAATGTTTGCTTCTAAAGGTTGTCCCATGTTATTCTAGGTAGGAGGAGAAGGTTCAAAACGATGCTGATTAAATTGCATTCAGATTTCTGTGAACCTAGTTTTTTCTGTTGATGCTTATAGAAGAACTCACAGTGAAAATGCCGACATATAATAGTATTATATAAAACATATACATCGTATTAGTGCAGTGGCAGATCCAGGGTGATTTTTTGGGGCTTCAGGCCCCCCCCCCTGAGAATTTTCTTAATCACTAACTTTTAAGAAAATACGTTCAGGTACTAGAAATAAGTTATTAAATGAAATGGTTCCCCTTAATTCATAGAAATCTTCAAATGCTGTATATTGGGAAACTTAAAACTATTTAAATATTTGCCCTATACCGAAAAAAATGACGTTCTCCCAATGTTAATTTCGCCTTTCACATGTAATTACTATATACTGTGCTGTGTACTATTATATATTCGCTGTTAAGTTTCACCCTCATCGGCGAGAGAGAAAAACGTAAAAGTTAAACTGCAGCTAAAATTTCCCGGTAAACAGTATGATGATGGACTGTTAATCATTTTGTCCTAAATATAATTGACATATCAGTTCTCTTGAACTTCATACATAGATTTTTAATGAATCATTGTTTTACATGACTGACTTTTGATATTGTCCGGACTGATGTTAAGAGCCTTTAAGTTGTTGATGGCCTTCTGCATACAGATCTGTACAGAGGTCAGTATCTCCTCCGGGTCCTCCTCCACCCATCTGTGGTCAACAAAACAATAGGGTCAATTACAACAGTTTAATTGCCTATTTTGGAGGAAGATTCCTAATTATGGACCCTAGAATTGGAGCATTGGGGTTACCTTTATGCTTCATATAAATATTTGGAAAGACATTAGGTGGGTAAATGTTTAAAATTGCGACGTCAGTAATATCTAGTTTTGTTATTGTTTATGTTCAAGAAGTCATCGGTGGAAATTTCAAAGATTGATAAGAAAAAAATGTTTTAAGTATAGTACCAACATTCTAACTTGATTATGATAGACTGACAATGAAGAGAAGCCAACACTTCTTACTTAATTTAAATATGATTAAGTCAGCTCAATTCAGTATCAGTCTAAGTCTAAACTTTAATTAACCATCACAGTGGTTTTTTTATCTAAAGATAACAGACTTTTATAACAGTAAATGTGGATCAGAATCCGACATACATTACTGACCTTGACCTTTCCACATGAACCAGATGACCTTTATACTGACCCTTCCTTAGGCAGCAGTTGTTTTATTTCTTCCTGGTGGTATGTTACCAACTCCCCGGTCTTACTGGAAAATATCTGTGAACAAACAAATTGATATTCACTGATAACATTTCCAGAATATTGATCTGTTATGACTAAAGACATATAAGGCTAACTGACATTATGTCATGCTTAAGCTGACATGACGGCTTACCGAGATACCTTAATTATATAAGAAAAAAATAAACCTGCAGGCTATAGGGCCCTGCAGAGGATTCCGAGAAGATGTTTTTTAATATGAAGTTTCCTGATGAGTTTTCATTTAATTTTTTTCCTTGAGTTTTTGCTGAGCATCTGGTCATGCTGTAATTCATGCTGTTCCATCCATATTGAATTTGGGACCAAAAATAAACAAAAGTAAAAGTTTGGTGGGAAACGGCTGCTATAATGAACCCCTCCACTTTGTGAAGGCAATTGAACTTCACTTGCAAATAGTTATTTTTTTTACTTTTCCTGTATTTTGAAGATTATCACCAATTACCGCCCTATTCCCTCTTGTGGCAATCACTGTCTTCTTTAGTTTACAGTTAATGTCACCCTGTAAAATGTATCGCAATACTTGGATTTGTGTTTTTATGAAATTATGTATGGTCTGTGTTTTTATGTATGGTCTGTGTTTTTATGTATGGTGTGTTTTTATGTATGGTCTGTGTTTTTATGTATGGTCTGTTTTTATGTATGGTCTGTGTTTTTATGTATGGTCTGTGTTTTTATGTATGGTCTGTGTTTTTGTGTATGGTCTTTTTTTATGTATGGTCTGTGTTTTCATGTATGGTCTGTGTTTTTATGCATGGTCTGTGTTTTTATGTAAGGTCTGTTTTTTAGGTATGGTCTGTTTTTATGTAAGGTCTGTTTTTATGTATGGTCTGTTTTATGTAAGGTCTGTGTTTTTATGTATGGTCTGTGTTTTTATGTATGGTCTGTGTTTTTATGTATGGTCTGTTTTTATGTATGGTCTGTTTTTATGTATGGTCTAGGTTTTTATGTAGGGTCTGTGTTTTTATGTATGGTCTGTGTTTTTATGTATGGTCTGTTTTTATGTATGGTCTGTGTTTTTATGTATGGTCTGTTTTTATGTATGGTCTGTTTTTATGTATGGTCTGTGTTTTTATGTATGGTCTGTGTTTTTATGTAAGGTCTGAGTTTTTATGTATGGTCTGTGTTTTTATGTATGGTCTGTGTTTTTATGTATGGTCTGTTTTTATGTATGGTCTGAGTTTTTATGTATGGTCTGAGTTTTTATGTATGGTCTGTGTTTTTATGTATGGTCTGAATTTTTATGTATGGTCTGTTTTTATGTATGGTCTGTTTTTATGTATGATCTGTGTTTTTATGTATGGTCTGTGTTTTTATGCATGGTCTGTGTTTTAATGTATAGTCTGAATTCTGTCCATGCAGGGCATATAGTACACATGTGATTACATCAGTTATATATATGTGACAGGAAGCTGCAACTATGTTTTTGTATAAAACAGTTTATTTTTATATCATTGTTGACGAAACCACCTCCTCAAAATGATAACAGCTTTAAGTGTCTTCCTGGTTTTGAAATGATGCAATTTTGTACACATTAACTGATTATACAGTGGCGGATCTGAAGGATGGTCGTAGTCAGAGCTACGATTTCCTTCCATGCTGGAGCAGAGAGTAGGCAGGGTATGACTATTTGTTCTATGGGGGATCCAGAGTCCTATCTTGGGGGGGGTGGGGGGGGGGGTCTAATTTGGGGAAAATTGAGGAAAATGGTGAAAATACATGATTTTTTAAGGAAAATTCTCAGGTTGGAAGGGTTTCTTGAAGCCCAAAAAAGACCTCTGGATCCGCGACTGTAGTGATAGAGTGTAAAAACAATGCTATCCCTACCATTAGTGTTACTCAGCAAATCACACTGATAAATAAGGTACATGTATATAACAATACAGTGCAGCTTATTTCTCTCTCTCCTAACTTATTCCCTACATTTTCAAAATGGACTTAAATTACCCATGAGCCTTTGATTTGGTAAGGTTCAAATGTGAATTTAGGGGTGAAATGGGTCAATTACTCTGTTACAAAGATCTCAACACCAAAAATTTCACTGTGGGATCCAATAGGAGGTCCCCTAATTCCCTCCCCTACCTACCCCAACCTTTAAATAATAAATGCCCCTTTTTATGTTGATTTGATGCTTTTCATTTAAATTATACAGCACATCTACTTCAACAGAAAATGTATAAATCTGCAAGGTGAGGACATTAATAAGACAGAAGAAAGAGGATGTTTCAACAATATTGAAATGGCGGATGTTGTTTGAATTTTCCCAATCTTTTTTAAAAACTAATTTAAATTTCATAAGATACATGTATGTGCTGTATCATAGATTTTCAGTCTAAATTTATAAAGCATGGCTAACACTTCCATTTTTAACATCCATATACATACCTACTGCCTATATTGCTATAGGACAGTGAGGCTTACGGTAGCCAGAATTGTGTATTATATAAATCACTACCTACATAGGTACATGTCCTTACAAAACAATTGTCTTGAGAAGACAGGTGGGACACTGCCTCCAGACTAATAGGATGATACAGTACTTGTCCTTGATGGAAATGTCAACTTTATAGAGTGCGTGCAAACACTGCTTTCTGAGCCTTATCAGTGACATTTGTATAACAACAGGCTTTTGGCTATTTATAACACACCTGAATATACATAAAACCTAAAAAAAAATAACTGATAGCACTTCATTGTGGTATTAATATCCTCACTCAAGCTTTCAACTAAATAAATCTAGTCATTTGTCCTTTTGTATTGCCAAAATTGTGTGGAAGTTAAAAAACAACACTATAGTTGTCTTTAGCCATAATTCATGTATGAAGAATATATACAAACCATTTTCTCATGTTTTCTGGAGTTCTTCACTAATTCCAATATAATTTGATATGAACCTAAACTATTGCAGGCTTTGATAACAAATTAACAGTCATTTTGAAAAGGAAAAATGAAAACATCAGGCATTTTCAGCTCATTGACCCCTAAAGTTTGATAATGAGCTATTCCAACCTTTGAATTGGAAGAGTTCAAATGTGTCATCAGGGGTAAATGAGTTAACACAGAACAGTACAGTATATATATATAAAGGCTTCAATGCTAAATAAGTGTACCAGCTGCCTTCCCTGTAAAACTGTAGGTTGTTCCCTCAATAAACATAGTTATATTTGACCAGGCCAAGCTAGGTAACAGACCTCTGAGGTTGGTAAGGACCCAACACTCACAAGTGACACAGATTATTCATAATGAAATGCCCTTAGGTAAACAAATAAGTTTTTATGGTCAAGGTATCTAAAGCTTATTAAATTGCTGGTTAAGTTAAGTCCAGGCTTTTCATGCAACTTCTATTTGAATAGACCAAATGACATTTCTAACCAGCAAACTTTTGTAAAATTACATAGGAGATATATAAGAACAAGAGGTCCATGGGCTTTAACGGTCACCTGATATCTTTATACAGGGAGTTGATTTTGTTTTTAACATGGACAGATATATTATTCAAAGTGACAAAAAACAATAAAACCACCTTATTCAATATCTAGCATACAGATTTAAGACTGAAAAGTATTTGAAACTAGCACCTCTGATTCTAAACAAGGAAAATGAAGAAATTTTAGCACACTGACTTCTGTGTGGGCCCCACCCTATCCCTTGGGGGTAGGGCTGGCTCAAAATTTTCAAAGTATCAAACTGTCAACTCAGGGTTATAATTCCAATCAAGTTATTAACATGTAATATTCAAAGTATCATTTGCCATTATAAACCATAATAAATTTTGCCCCCCCCCCCTCCCCAGGGGGTAAACGTGAGACCCTAGGGTCATAAACCTTAAGACCCTTCCATCTATGAAGAGTGTTTGATTCTACCATATCTTGGTCTTTGAGAAGAAGATTTTTGAAATTTCAGTCAATTCGACCCTTTTTGACTCCACCCATCAGCCCCGGGGGGTCAGTCAGGGCTGATATGTGCATACCATTTAACTGCTATCCAATACTGATAATGCTAACCTAAATTGAATTACTTCCAATGGAAATTAAACAAATGTTGGTCCAAAATGTGATTTCCCTATATAAACTATAGTAAAGTTCCTCCCCTGAGGTGGAAACGTGAGACCCCAGGGTCAAGAAATTCACAATTTTGGTAAAGCACCTTCAGACCCTTCCATCTATGAAGAGTATTTGACTCTACCATATCTTGGTCTTGAGAAGAGGATTTTTGAAATTTCAGTCAATTTGACCCTTTTTGGCCCCGCCCCACAGGCCCTCGGGGGCTGGGGACCAAAGCAGCCACTCTTTTTGTTGACCTTTGGCCATGGAAGGTTTCTGCAAATTTTCATTGAAATTGGTTCATGGGTTTTGGAGAAGAAGACGAAAATGTAAATTGTTTACGGACGCACAACGGACACCGGACAAAAGGCGATAACAATAGGTCACTTGAGACTTTGTCTCAGGTGACCTAAAAAGGTGACTTGAACAGGTCAAAATGAGAACTGAATCAGTCCTTCTTGCCTGCTGCCTGTTCTTGATGAAAGTGCTGTAAGTCAAACTTGAATGTCTGTTCAATGAAGGTTAACGTTCCTAGTAACATGTACATGTGACACACTTTGTAATAATGATTTTTATATCCTTGAGATTCTAAAATTATATCTTGACATAATCATTTAACAAAAGTTTCTTTTTACAAAAATGATTTTTTAAACAAACTTGAATATAAATACCTTTTGAACTGTAAATTCTAGCAATAATGCTCATCAGCTAAATAAAATAACTGTCATCAGCTGAACTGATATTTGAACTTTACTAGATACCCCACGTGCATATATCCATGTTAACTCATTCACCCCTGAAGACACATTTGAACCCTTCCAATTCAAAGGTTGGAATAATTTATTATGAAATTTCAGATGTGAATGCAGAGTTAAAAAAATTATAATCGTGATGAAATTAGCAAGTCAATTAATTAAGGCCTTTATTACCTAAAGGCTTTTTCAAGTAACTGTATATATTTATACAAGTTTTTTTGTTAAAATCTATATATAGAAATTAATTTGACAGACATGTCTTATTATCAAGTGCATGCATTTGAATATTGAATGAGAAATTACAACAGACTGTCTTATAGTTATAGGCCATGTGCATGACAGTTCTACTAAGACAATCATACACAGTTGTTGCCCTAAGCTATATGTACAGGGTCATTAATAATTGCCAAATAAACAACAAAGTTAGCATACATTCTCTTCTGTTTGTATGCTGATTTAAACCCCATAAAAGAGCTGATAACAATGCATCTCATTTAATTTTCTAACTCTGTTACAGGCCGTTAAATTGTTTCCTCTCCATTTCTACCCAATATCCTAATCAATATTGATACATTGTATATATTGTATATCACCGAAGCCCTGAATTAATACTAACTCATTTCTCTGGACAAATTTAATATTTCCTTCATGGTAATTGTATTGTACAATTATAACTGTCCTGCTGACTAAACAAAATTTAATAGAATATTAAATCATCCCTTTTCAATTTTTGGATTAATTAATAAATGTTCCCACTAGGTTATCAAAAACAGCATAGGTACTTTTTAGACTTCTTATTCACAATGGTATGGTATTTATAAGCTGTACACATATGCATGTAGCCCGAGTTTCCTCTGGCCCTGATACCAGACTCAAGACATTTTGACAGATAGATGTCTGCACGATACAGGGAAAATCCTGGAATTTGAGAGAAGTGGGCTGGCCATTTTCAGCAATTTTTAGTCAATATCAAAACTAAGAAGGGCCATTATATGTAAAATTAAAAGAAAATTGGAACATGGAGGGGTCATTTTCAGTTTTAATGGGTCAATGGACCAAATGCATGAGCCCCTCCAGGATTTTCCTTGGGATATACACATCTATAATAACCAAAATGTCTCAGTCTGGTGTCAGGGCCAGAGGAAACTCTGGCTCCTATTCATGGTAGCAGACGGAACTGGACTGGGTCAATCGCCGGTGACCAAGTAGCTCAGTTGGTTTTCTATCTCCTGTTACAGTCCACATGGCACCTGCATCAGTGCATTTGACCAACCCTTGTTAGAAGCATTGGGTGTACGCTTGGCAAGGCGATTCCCGAACTTGGGTTGTCAGTAGTTGTATGTTCAGGGGTAACAGCTTAGATAAAGAAGGGAGGAATGGAACTGGACTGGGTCGATTGTTTGCGACCAGGTAGCTCAATTGGTTGAGCATCCGGCTAAAGTTTGGAGGGTCCTGGGTTTGAACCCTGATCTGGCCGTGCATTTTTCTATCTCCTACACATGTTGATGGATCTATTATATTTAAGTGGTGAAAACTTCATATTTTATATCATTAAATTATCAGCATTTTTTTTTATTGAATATAGCCTATGGCACATGTTATTTTATAAGTCTCCTAACATATCTGGTATATGGCATGAAGGAGAGCTTGTTAGGTAGGGGATGCCCAATCACCTGTTTTCCAGAATGCCATGGTATCAGATACGAGACAAAATAGGTTTTTATTTGGTAACACTTTATATCTTTTTTCATAAAAGACTGCATATGTGTCTTAAGAGTTTTATCAAATTATCAATATCTATCATATAATTATGTAACTATTTTGTGAATTGAATTGACTTATTTAGATCTAAGGGACCCCATTGGTTAAGACACAATGTGACTTTATGGGTCATCACAGGTAAAGGCCTAACTTAATCTAATCCAATCCAGTTTTTAACACCTGACTGATTACTAGTTATATGGCATAAATAAATATGTCCTAAACAAATACCATAACACAAGCGCAGTCACAGATATGATACACAACTTGCAATGGCCAACATTACACACTCCCAGAACAAGAACACACATTATTCTTCTCTACAAAATAATACACCAACAAGTAGCAATACACACTAACAATCTCATCCCGGCAGACACTAGAACACATCAAGGACATGACCGTAGTTACAGACATATCTACACATCCAAAGACACATACAGACACTCATTCTTTCCATACACCAATGGAACCTCCTACCCACAACAATAATCCAATCAAATACACGAGCAGAATTCAGGACATGCACCACATATAACATAATCGAAAATATACAAAACCTACAACATAACTAACACTCACTCACTGCTTTTAACGTGTTTTTATCATGTTTTTATCCTATAGCAAATAACAAAAAAATCAACAACAAAAAGTACATAATTAACGTACAATAGCACAATGACCCTAGCTACATCCGTAATCGTCGGTATCGACGGAGGAAGTCAACAAGATGAACATGAAATAACATCTGTGATAATATATGTATTTATATTCAATCTGCAAAATGTGATATACGTGGATTATCTGCCTTTTACCTAAAAAAATATTATCATTATTATTAACTTAAAGGTGAATATGTAAGTTACTGTTTGTCGCAAATTTGTCAAAAAGCAGACGATGAAATACATGCGCGACTCTAGATCTGTTCTGTAGCGTTATAGATCACGAATGCTGAGAAGAAACTTTTATAACAACTGTCATGTGTAAAAGATGTGTACATGGTAACAGGAAACATGATCATAAAATGCAGCTGTTCAGTGTTTACCACCGGTGTAAATCATCTGTTCACCCGACATGTATTGAAGGACAAACAATGCAACCAGTTGATAAGTGAATTCCGTGAAATAACCTTAAAAAGTAGGACTTATTTGCAATACATATGTGTATAAATACTCACAAGAAATCTCGAACTACTCGTGCCCTGATCGACAGCTCCCACAAGCGTGTCATGTTGGCTTGCCATGCTGCCTACTGTCTGTCAAAACAACAATATTTGTTAAGGATCTAAGGGACACAAAGCGTCGCTTATGTTAAAGGAAATAAAAATCGAGTTAAAAAGCGCGCGAAATTATGGAGGACCTAAGTTGGACCTTTGACCTGTTGTCTTTATGTAACTTCATGGTTTTAACTTTTTCGTGGGTATATAGAATGTCTGTTTCATTGAGTTGTAATTATTGGCGATTTTGCGTCACAATTGTTTTTCCTGATACCTGTTGCTGTCGTTGTCATTCCTGTAGGGCCTACCGTAAATATCCTAAACTTTGAGATATTCTAATTAATGGGAATGTTTTATCAATTAACAATTTCCTGGTCTAGTCAGTGATCTATTGTAAAAGATGTGCATTGATTAGGTTGCCTTACAAGTGTCAGCTGTAGGGAGTTTCCCTTTAGATCATCATCGTGCTCGGAGAGCTAAGGGTCGCGGGTTCGAGCCCCGCCAGCTACGGCACTATCTTTATCATTATTCCTTATCCTACTACATTGGTGCTGTCGATACTTAAAATCATTTGAGAATACATGAGCCTGCTGGAAATAGCAGGAGATATATCATTTTAGAGCAACGATAAGCGATCGAGTCGAATGGATATGACGTCCAATTTAGGTCCTTCACTCATCCTCAATACTCAAGGGGCTGCTCTAAAGTGGGCGAACATCCTGAAATATCGCTCAGAATGTCCTGTGTACTGTTGAAACCATCCTCGATATCCAGGGGTTACGCTCACGTACGCTCTCTGCACCCCTGGAATATGTCTTAGCAGAATTGAAGGCACAAAGATAGTTATTTAATTGGTCTCGGGTAAATAAACCTGACCAATCGCTAGGCTGGAGCGACACCCGACTTCAAAGTCAGCCATTTTTTTTTTACCGCTATGCGACAGCGAGATTCTTTTGATGTACATCAAAGGACCGAGGATGTGCGGTAATTCTACCTTGAATAGTCTATCGCCAACATCGATCCATCTTAATAACCTAGGTCATTTCAAACTAATGTCACGTTCTCAAAAACGTTATTTAACAAGAGAATATAGAAGTGTTAATAAAACCGGTAATTCCAACTCAAAATCGATAAACTTGATTACTTCGATTTTGCATTGCCATGCCATATCCCAGGGTTGTTGAGAGCGAAATTGAGCGTAGCCCCTGGAGTTTAGAGAAGCACATTCAAAGACCTAAGGACCAGACAATATATAACAATATAGGTAAAAAATATAGATGTAGCATCCTCGATATCCATGGGTTACGCTTACTTTCGCTCTCTTCACGCATGGAATATGTCATAGCAAACAATTGAAGGCACGTGGCAAACTACAGGATGTATTTGGCTGGTCTCAGGTTAAAAAAAATCTTACCAATTAATAGGCTGATACGTGTCCTTGGAAGATTATAAAGGAGCGACGCCCGACTTCAAGACAAGAAAATTTTACCGTTACCCCACCGCGAGATTCTTTTGATGTACATCAACGGATCAAACTAGTCTTCTTGACTCATCCACAAGGTGGCGCACACTGTGCCTTCAATATTGCTATGTCATATTCCAGATGTGCAGAGAGCGAAAGTGAGCATAATCCATGGACATCTATACTCACATATATGTATATAATACAAGAGGCCCAATGGGCCTACATCGCTCACCTGGTATTAATCTCACACTTGTAATCTTAAAAGTGGACTAAAATACAGCTACAGGCAGAATATCAGTATGACCTTGCATGTCAAACAATGACATTAGGTTGAAAGTGGGTCAAGGTCATTCATTTGAACAAATTTGGTAGCCCTGATTGCTACAGGCCTAATAACAGTACCCTGTGCCTTTTGGTTATTGAGAATAAGTTGGTTGAAGATTTTAAGAACTTGACACCTGTGACCTTGAAAGTTGGTCAAGGTCATTCATTTGAACAAACTTGGTAGCCCTTCATCCCAGCATACTACTGGTCAAAGATCATCACCCTGGGCATTTTGGTTATTCAGAAGAAGTCGTTTAAAGGTTTTAAACATATTCGACCCATGTGACCTTGAAAATGGACTAAGGTCATTTATTTGAACGAACTTGGTAGCCCTTCATCCCAGCATGCTACTGGCCAAATATCATCACTTTAGGCCTCTTGGTTATACAGAACAAGTTGTTTTAAATGTTTTGAACATATTTGACCACTGTGACCTTGAATATAAGTCAAGGTCATTTATTTGAACAAATCTGGTAGCTCTTCAACCCAGTATGTTACTGGACAAATATCATCACCCTAGGCCTCTCGATTATTCAGAAGAAGTTGTTTAAAGGTTTTAAACATATTTGACCCCTGTGACCTAGAATATGAATCAAGGTCATTTATTTAAACAAACTTGGTAGCCCTTTATCCCAGCATGTTACTAGCCAAATTTAGGCACCCTAGACCTCTTGGTTATTCAGAAGAAGTTGTTTAAAAGTTTTAAACATATTTGACCCCTGTGACCTAGAATATAAACCAAGGTAATTTATTTGAACAAAATTGGTAACCTTTATCCCAGCATGTTACTGGCCAAATTGAGGCACCCCAGGCCTCTTGGTTATTCAGAAGAAGTTGTTGAAAGGTTTTAAACATATTTGACCCTGTGACCTAGAATATAAATCAAGGTCATTTATTTAAACAAACTTGGTAGCCCTTCACCCCATCATGTTACTGGCCAAATTTAAGCACCCTAGGCCGATTGGTTATTCAGAAGAAGTTGTTGAAAGGTTTCAAACATATTTGACCCATTGTGACCTTGAATATAAATCAAGGTAATTAATTTGAACAAAATTGGTAGCCCTTTATCCCAGCATGTTACTGGCCAGATATCATCACCCTATGCCTCTTGGTTTTTCAGAAGAAGGTGTTTAACGAATTTAACACATTTGACAGCTGTGACCTTGAAAATGGATGAAGGTCATTTATTTGAACAAACTTGGTAGCCCTTTAGCCCAGCATGCTTCTGGCCAAATATCATCACCCTATGCCTCTTGGTTATTCAGAAGAAGTTGTTTAAAGAATTTAACATATTTGACCCCTGTGACCTTGAAAATGGACGAAGGTAATTTATTTGAACAAACTTGGTAGCCCTTCATCCCAACATACCTCTGGCCAAATATCATCACCCTATGCCTTTTGGTTACTGAGAAGAAGTTGTTTAAAGTAAAATCTTGACGACGGACGGACGACGGACGGATGACGGACGCCGCACCATGCCATATGCTCACATGGCCCTTCGGGCCAGGTGAGCTAATAAAAACCATAATATGATAAGCGGTAGGGAAGTTATCACTCAATTTTGATCAAATTATGGCAACGATTAGGAATACTATAGCAGGTTTTGGCTCAGGAGCTCAAAAAGACTGGGTTGCTTAAAATTACAACCAGCTTATTCTTCTTATTTAGAATGAAAAAAGGTATCCCCGATACAGCTCTCCTCGTGCATTGATTAGGTTATATCAGAGATATTCATACACATTACACTTAACTAACGTGAGAATATTTATCTCTATTACGTATTTACAAGCGGAAAATTCATTCACAAACAATCTTTCATGCCGACCTGTTTCGATGCGTAAGTCAATTTTACTTTTACGTTTCCAGGAAATTCTTTTGATGTACATCAACGGATCAAACTGGTCTACTTAATTGTATCAATCCACAAGGACACCCTCCTCACTTCTTCAGGCCTAGGGTAATGCTCACTTTCGTTCTCTGTACCCCTGGAATATGTCATGACAAAATCGAAGGCTCAGTGTGCACCACCTTGTCGTTGAGACGAGAAGACTAGTTTGATACTGGCTTTGAAGGTGGTAGTCGTTCCTCTGTTATCCTCAAAGTACATATATCAGTCTTTGCGATTTGCCAGTTCATTTTACTCGAGACCAATCTAATAGCAAGTCGGATGCGTTCAGTTTTGCTATGACATATTCCAGGGGTGCAGAGAGCGAAGGTGAGCGCTACCCCAGGAGTATAGCTGAAGATGGCATGACCACAAACACACGGTCATCTTCTGTATCACACCGCACAGTACATGGTTGGTGTTCGATTCACATGATAAACACGAAATAAAAATCCAAACAACAACACGGAACTCAGTCCGGATATCTATAACATAAAGACAATATCAACTATCTTACAGGCATTGTTTAAACAAATCAGAACTTATAATACACAAATAATTTTTCATTTCTGTTTCGTTGCTGTTTGATACGAACTCTGTGTTTGTTGAAAGAAAACCCCAAAACAGCTGTTCATATTAGTATTAACGCATAAACGTGTTTTTTTCACGGGACTTCTAGCTCTGTTATAAGATTGTCCAAATACGCCTTTTTCAATAAACTATAGTCGTTCGAGTTGTCTCCCATGACACAACCAAACTTACTATGAACAAAGTTACGCCCGCTAATTTGGTCTTACTACGAAATTAATAGCCCATTGTTCGATTGTCTTCGTAGTCAAAGCTAGTGAATATATTACAATAAACGGTTTTTTTTAATTTTTATTAAGGATATATATCTTGTTTACCCAAAAACTTAACTCCCACATGATTCTAGAGATTGGTAACTGAATAAGTTCCACACAATCTTTATAAAAACATTAATATAGATTAAATGAAAATAAGACCTAAAATATAAATGATAAAATTGCTAATAATATCACAAGCTTGATATTTTACTAAACATGATATTTCACAATATACATAAATCTCATGCGTTTGGTTATAGTCAGCATCGATACTCAAGGGGTGCAGAGAGCGACAGTGAGCATAACCACTGGAGTATCAAGGATGGGTTATAGTAAAATGGCCAGAGTCTAACAAACACGATAAATGATAGCAAAGCAAAACGTAAAAAATGCCAGGATATACGCTATCAAACCATGGATTAAAAATGGTTTCTTCATCTAACAGTATATAATCAGAATTAAACAATTAAATAGGCTGCCATATTGCTTTATGCTTAAAAGCGTCCAAAGGTGGTAGCGATATTAGTTCATCTGT